CATCAACCAATCTCTTGCATTCATTCACTGTTACATAACATAAATTAGCTTCATGTATACATGCGATACATAGACACTGTGCATGCATACTTACATACTTGTTGACACGTCGTGCTAATAATAATATTGTTATTCCGATCTGGAAAGTCTACAAAGAGTATTTGGGAACACAGTAATATAACATAAAAAGTTGGAATGTGACCCATCAACTTTGAATCGACAATAAATAACACTTGAGAAATGTCTAAAAACGAAAATAGCCCCAGCGATTCTAATTGGAATATACACATACCATATCATGCAATAGAGACCACTTCAAATGAGAAAAGGATTGAAATATTTAAAGAAGAAAACTTATTGAATGTTTGCGAGTGCGTATCAGTAGTATCAATGTTTTGCCTCACGTTCATTCCTTTTACAAAATCAAGAATATTTTGCTTTGAATGCAACCACATATAGTTGGGTGGTCACTGAAAAAATCCACGGAAGCAACTTCTCCTTTCAAACCAATGGAAAACAAGTAAGATGTGCTAGTAGATCAAAACCACTTGAAGAAACAGAAGAATTCTTTGGATTTCAAACGGTATTAAAGAAATACAGAGAAAACTTGTTGTCTTTATGGGAAATCATGAATTCAAGAGGGCTCATTCAAGAATCGAACCAAACCAATGCGGTTCAGGAAGAAAAGGTAATCATAGTCTATGGTGAGCTGTTTGGCGGAAAATATTCTCATCCGGACGTGAAGCCGGTACCTAATGCGGTGATTGTTCAGTTTGGAATTGAGTACTGTCCGCAAAATGAATTTATGGCCTTTGACATTTTTGATGGAAAAGATTATTTGGAGTATGACACAATGATTGAGATGCTGGAAGAATCGAGATTACCTTACCTCAAACCTTTGTTTCGAGGTACTTTCGATGAAGCCTATAATTATAATCCCGAGTTCACTACCACCGTTCCTGTATGTATCTTTTTCCTTCTTTCTTTATTATATTATTCCACAGCTGTTTAAAAGGTATTTATGCGATTTCCCGTTCCAGACAATTTTAGGTCTACCTCCTTTGCCATTCCAAAACAAAGCTGAAGGTGTAATCCTGAAACCCACGAAAACACTCCGAGTAAAAGCTAAAATCCGTCAAACACGTGTCGTGCTCAAAATCAAAACTTCCGATTTTACAGAACGTGTGCGATCGAGCAAACGTCAACATAAAAAAGACCAAAAAAAGGTGTTTCCACATGGACCGCTCGACGAATTGTCTGAGGAATTTAAGTGCTTTGTCAATTTCAATAGATTTGCTAACGTCATTTCAAAGCATGGTCCGATTGTTAAGAGGAAGGACGAAGGCAATGATATTGTTCAATATATTGAAGAGGAAAAGTTGCAGGAAGTTGCCGAGTTACTATTCAACGATGCCATGGAGGATTTTGA